ATCTTACATTGCTGCTGTTATTTTAAAATGACAAACTGTAGAAGGAGACTTCAGATAAGGACTTGAAGTCTTTTTCAGCGCACATCATATTCTGACAAAATCTAAATTAATCAAATGAATTCAAGTACCAAAGCAAGGAATAGGGAATGTATCATCCGCCGTGCGAGATATCTCATCGAAAACTTCACAAAACAGTATCTCTAAGCATATATACGGGAATGTGAACGTGCGTGAAAATAGCTGTTAATTATTTTTTTTCTTCACAATAAATATATATTTGCCACTTCGAACAACTTCAAGACTGTATTCTGGATATGAAATGATCATTTTCTCGATTTTTCCTATCACATGAACAAGAGGTTCGCCAACAGACAACATTTTCTGGACATTCATTGCCAGTAATTCGTTATTTTCCAATTCTCCATCAGACTGAAATATTTTTGAAAATTATAAAAAACATCATCTAGTCAATAGGACATAGAGACTGCGTAAAAAAAGTAAATAACAACATATGCATATGCGAGAAAAAATTCGTAGACCAGAAAAAAACGATCCTGTCTTGATGATAGAAATCAGTTGTAAATTTCTGTCCTTTTATGCTAGTATCATATGATTGCTTTTGGTCTGCAGAAGGAATGAAAGTGAACTGAAAACTAGCTGAGACAAAAAAGAGAGTTCGTTTTTTTCTCAATACTAGATTGATATATTAAACAATAAACTCTTAGCACATAACGCATAATTTAAATACATCAATAATTTTTGAAACTATGAGAGATAATGATGAACGACGTTAAACATATCGCTCAAACGGAATAAGATATTGGTCATAACAATAATTTTAAACCAAAACCTGCCATTTTCCATTCATGAAGTTTGGGAAATATTAATAAATCACATTATGATTGCAATGTCTATGCTATACATTTTTATAAAGTATTAATTTATATTCCTCCTGAATATATGCTTTTTCAATGTTTTGGTATTTATGCGACTGTGTGTTAAATAGCAAAGATCAATGAAAATAAAACAAAAAATCAGAAGTCCCTATCACTTAAACATCTCATTTAAACAGTTATTCATCTTTAACACATAAGCAGAAAAAGATATCAAATTAAAATAGGAAAGAGCTTAAATACAAACTGATAAATGCTAGTCAAAAATAGTCAACGAACAAACCTTAACGATACAGCCAGTCGAAATCACAATGTATCCTTTCTGGCCCGGAATATGATTTAGAAATGAAAAATTGGTATCCATATGTGATCAAGATCGTCAGTTCGCGATACATAAGCTTACTTGCTAAGCTTCCTGAAAAAAAGTTCATGCACCATGTAGACATCTTCTATTCCCGAACAATACCATATTTGACAATTCCACAAAACTGTGAAAGTGACAAATCCTCTGATAACGCAATTCAAAGCCCAACTTTCTGTCATAACTAAACATACGAGCAATCGCAAGCTTTGATACGCATTCGTTCTCCACACAAATACTCTCATGCAAAAGTGGCTCATAAATCTCATCGAATCGCTTCTTTACATCATCCATTCAATGGTATTTTGAATTACGGAATACTTGAATCATGTAATTTTGGATTATGTTAAAGTCAAAGTGTTAGAACGAATTTCATTAAAAATTATGGAAAAAATATATAAAAGTGGCCTTTGCTTCTATTGAATCAGCAATAAAAAGCTTGAAAGTAAATCTTTTATGAAAGAAATAATGTACAATCTAGCAATTACAAGATAAACAATATAATTTTTCGGAATGAACATCGAATTCAATAGAAAAATGAGTACAAATAACGAGTATAATAGCTCATATTTGTATGAACAATTTCCCATTTATCATAAATTCCAAAACAGGTCTGTTAAAGTAGTTCTGCAAACTACAGCTCTTTCCTTATAAAATTAAATATAGCTCCTTTAGTATGAACTCATACAAACACGAACTTGACTGATGATTGGAATAATTGGAAAAAGAAAGGTTTAAAAAAAATATCTTTTAAGAAAAATTAATGATCAGCAGAGTTAACAATAGTTTAGAATTCTCGACAACAAAAAACACATGAGATGCAGAACTAATCACCTATCTTGAAAGTATTATGGTCATAATTTATTCAAGTTAATATATCAAAAAGGAAAATTAACGTACATCTCCATTGGTGACAATAATACTTTACAAATGATTCCTTACTTTCATTTACCTCCAAATAAGAAAGAAAATTCCAAAAATTTTTCATAGCATAACGCTTATTAGCTTCCATTCACAATTTTTGAAAACATACTGCACCTAGATTATCATAATTGACGAAGGAATAAAATCTCAAATTAAATAAATTTCAATTATACAAATTCATATTGTTAGCATACTAAATTTGTCTTGCCTTTCTATAAGGCTTCGGATTGCATCATCAAACCTTTGACATCGTATCGGCATATCGATTGAGTAAAAAGGATTTTTCAAAGCGAAATCAGCATAAAGCTCATAAATCCGTCGCAAAAGTCCATCGACACCATTACTCAGTGATAACGAACCAACAACGACAAATTTGACTCCAGTCGTCGACTGGAAACAATAAAGCCTACAAGGACACTCCTGTCCTTAATCCTGGGGTCTTAAAATGAATAAAGTGCAATACATAGTAAATTCCCATAAATTTAATTTCTTTAAAATACCACCTTTCTACCAAATGTTCTAAAAATCATCTCGATCACAAAAATAAAATCAAAACATATGTCGCGGCGCTTTAGAAGGCTAAATGATCCTTAAACTTTGATTAACACTGACCAACATTGGTCAACATTGCTAACGCTACAAGGGAAGGCTGTTCTCATGACAATAAGTTCCAAAAATTTGAGCAACACTACTCGTTACACTAGTTGTTTAGAATAGTTATATCGTTTATATAAATAACTATTTCAAATCTGTTAATTATATACTTATCATATGTTTTACAACTGCTTCTTGAAAGATATTATACTAAATGTGTCTTTCGAACTTGAAATAAATTAAAATATGATAAAAATAAAAATGAAACAACGATTGCATCTTCTATTGCAACTTCATTTTGCGAACTCCGTAATATAGCGTTTAAACAAAAAATATGAAAACATACTTACTTGAAGTGGTTTGTGGTTAGAACTTGAATGCCAGAACTTTTCAAGACAGGACTTAACTGAGCAGCGATTGTGTAGAGTGAATGGAATGTACTCGAAAGAATGATCTTTTCATTTGTTGTAATTGTTGGTGGTTGGAAACGTATGCTGAGTGGATAGTTCGCTTCGTCTTGAATAACATCTAATACCATCTTCTCTGCACCACAAAAGACTACTTTACATGCATGCACTGGGGTACCATTTATTGCAGACACTGTATATCTAAACTAATTTATGGGTTATGTGCTTGAACTACGTAAAAGGCAATTTAAAAGATCAGTAAATGAGTATGATAACTATTGTCAATTAAATTTCTAAACGAATTTATTTGAAAGGACTCCATTTGACAATCATAACTTTTTGAAAGGACTCCATTTGACAATCATAACAAATTTGACAATCATAACTTATGTATTAATAAATGAATATCGAAATCCACACGGCTTTTGTTACTGTTAAAAGAATTGATGAAAAAAAAGAATACACATATTAAAAGAATACACATACCTGAGACCAATTCCATCCCGTTCACCAAACACGACAGTCACTTTCTGATCAACGATGTCAAGAACAATATCAAGAGGATAACTAAATGTTTTCTCAACACCTTCGCAATCAACCTTGCCGTCCCAATCATAAATTAAGCTTCCAGCTCGGTTAATTATAAATACATGTTGTATCAGCATCTCTCAATCTAAAATTATTGCTAGCATAATTCCACCCTTACATTCTACTTTAGCGACACGAAAATTAGCATAGATGCATTCTCGCATAAATTAATATACAAAATTATAACAGTAGATTAAACTATTCTTAATCATCAATGCTGTTTTCTGTATTGCATAAGAGATTTTAATACAAAATTTTAAATTCGAGCCATTTCGTCCATATCCCTTCATCGGAAAACTTTTAAAAACCAATGCGCAAAAAAGGAAAGCTTTTTCAAATTTTTGAGAGTATAAAAATCATACAAAACCGATAATGATCATGTAAGTCATCATAGATCAAGACCATCACTCAATCCTGTAAGCTAGATTTTACATGTTTTCCTGTTACAATTTTTAAAAAAAAGTGATAATATAGCAAGAAAAATTTTTGCACATTTAGCCACATCATACCGCATTCTGTTGCATCAAAGCAAAGATTGGATTTTTTTCCAAATAATTTTTAAATTATTTTCATAAAAGTATTATTATTATTGTTTCAAATAGATTAATTCTCATTAAGAACTCATCATTAATCGACTCCCAAATAACTCACCCCCACCGCCGCAACCCATCCCAACCTCCGTAAAAAATCCAAACTTCCAGCGAGCTATATGAGAACCTAATTTAACGCAGGACGGTTACGCAAATTTGTTTCC